CAGGTCCTCCTCCTCCTGCGTGCTGCTGGGGACAGTGGGGCATTGTGTCCCTCAGCCTGCCCCGTACCCCCCCGGCCCAGCGCCCCTCGGGGTGGCAGTATTCCCCCTCACCGCAGCCCTCCTGGACAGCTAAGGGCAGGGAGCAACCGAGGATCCCCCTGACCAGGCCAGGGATTGGGACCAGAGTGTCCAGCTGGGCTGGCAGCCAGCAGCCCGGGCCAAGGAGAGCCACGTTAATGCCAGGCTGTGGGACAGCGCTTTCAGCAGCACTGGGCAACGTGCCCGAGGACATGGGCTTCTGGGAGCCCTCTGGGAACACCCCTATGCCCCCTCCGTCACACTCCAGTCACGCTCATCAGCTGACAAGTGGTCAGACGACGGTCAGTCACTGCCCCATCCCAGCAGCCCAGAGGCTGGCTCGCTGAGCAGAGCTCCGTGATGGCTCTGGACTCTTCCTTTTCTCCCAGTCAGCCACACAGAGGCATCATCCGGAGCCACGCGCTGAGAGGAATGTCATCCCGGAGCCACATGACTCTGCCCCGGGCACCTCTCACACGTACGCTCGGGGCGTGACACCACGTGTCCCCGGCCCGTACCTGGGCGGAAGTGCCGAGCTGCGTGCTGACTCTGCCAGGGACATCTCCAGAGCGCGCTGCAGTGCCTCTTCCTCACTCTGAAAGAAAAAACCTCATCACCCGCTCGGCTGAGGTGGCAGGAGGCAGCCCTCAGGGGCATGCAGCAGGCGGCTCTGCCTGGCCAAGGGTGGGGCATCTCTACTCCCTATGGGGGCACCTCTACTCCCCATGGCCAGGCACGGCTAAGGTGAAGGCCGTGGGCTCAGGACAGGCCTGCAGCTCTCTCCCCGCGCCTGAGGGAGCGCAGCCCTGCCTGGCAGCGCAGGGAGCACGCTAAGAACACCCATGGCAAGTAGCTTCCAGCCTCCTCCTCTGCCCTTGGCTGGCAGAAGAGAAAAACCAACACCCAGGGAAAACAGCCAGCGCACTTTGTCCCTTGGGGGAAAGCTGAGCGCCACGCGCAGCCGAGAGCTGCCATTCACAGGCACCGCAGCAAACTGCTCCTCCGAGTGTCCAGGACCCGTTTGCCGAGGAAGGCCCAGCCGGGGAGCCCCACAGCCACCCGCAGCGTGCGCATGACAAAGGAGTTGCTCCCCAGGGCACAGGAACCACCCAAGCCCGCCCCAAATGCCCAGGCCAGGCCACTCACCAGCCCGTTCTGCAGCACGACAGCTGGAGGGGAGGTGCTGCGAGGCCGCGACGCAGCTGCCTTGCCTCCTCTGCAAACAGGGGAGAAGCTGGATTATTGTCCAGGCAGGGAGCTCCGCCGATGTACGAGGAGCAGGAAGCTGTTGCTCCTGCGTCCCGCAGGGAGCCAAGCTGAGCCTGGTCGTGCCCACCTCCCAATCATGAGTCGGGCCGTCACCGTACCTGGCAGAGGCCGGAGAAGCGGGGCTGTCTGCTGGCCGGGCTGCTCCGCCGCTCGACACAGGGGCTGTTTTGGAGGAGGATGCTTGGGCTCTCGCGACTGCAGCGTGCCTAGGAGAGACGGGATGCCGCTGCTTTACCAACATGCGCCATCCCTGGGCACTGACTACCCGGGGAAACGAAGCTGGCCAAGACGCTTCCCTGGCATCCGGCTCTCTCTGCTCCTCCCAACAGCACCCACACCATGGCTCAGCTACACCCAAGAGGTCCAAGTACTCTTTCTCTCCTCAAACACTGTGCTGGGATAGGCAGAAATCATCAGCTACAGAATAAGGGGCTGGGCCGGGAAGGAAGAA